AGTTCTGAGCGAAGTTCAGTTGATAGTGATGCTTTGTCAACAATATATATGTCATTTTACAGTAAAACAATTAAATAGGCTTTACATATTAACTATAATAATATTTGTGTAATGTGGCGATTTTCCCAGTTGTACTAAATAATATTTCAATAATATCTATTTTGCATATTGTTGCAATTCCATTATCTTATCGCTGATAATTCATTGTCTAGAACGTTTTTTTTTTCAAAAATATATTAATGAGGGTTTACGTTTATTTCATAAAAATCGCATTATTATTTTCAGTTATAGGGCTTTTTAATTTGACTACCTAGTCTTAGTTTTTGGATAAAATGGAGTGATTAGGAACACCCAATTGTTTCATTAATTTTGTTTATATTATTTATACATTTATAGGTAGTCAAATCATTATTTAAGTATGTAAATTATACTCATCAAGTACCTACATATTTACTAGGTATTTTTTTTATTTGCACGATTGGTTTTCATTACCAATGCCACGGAAATATATAAGAACTGTCTCTCAAAAACCTTATGCCAGTTATTTAAAAATTGATTCTGGTCTCTCTGATATAGATGCTGGGATATCATGTTTAATGTTATTTTGTGGTCGTGTCAATTTTTATCTGTGCGCAACTCCATCAATTTTGCTCTAATTTATAGTAATAGCAATGTTTCTAAAAGGAAATTTGACTGGGAAGGTACTACAGGGAAGCCATTTTTCGATTTTCTCAAGTTTTCCAGGCAAATGTGAAAAACCGGGAAAAAACACTAACCTTGAATGCATTCGTTGAATGAGCAAAATATTGCTTTTATTTATATTCCTTAGCGTTTAACTAGTTTCAGAATGAGGCATAAAACATCAAGATCATATTATGTACTCAGAAACGTATAAAGGAAAGAAGATGAGAGATAAACAAAATTCTAGACAAACTCCCAAAAAAATCAACTTATCAAAGTATTAATGTTTACATTGTGACTAAGTATAAACTGTGTTAAAAAATAAAAGAGCAATGTTACTCATGAAAATAGGAGGTAAAATAAGGTTGTTATTTTTTAATTTTTAAACGAAATTTATGGTATTTTCTAGGACAATTCAGCAATCAATTTTAATACCTTTTGATGACAAAACCCGTGCCCTAATTATTACTATACCTTACAATTTATTCTTACTACTTGTATTAGGTATTATTTTGCTATGACCTTTTGAAATAATTAAATATTATGGATATTAAGTAATTTTTAAATAACATATTATTAATTTAAGGTATTTCATAAGGTTGGTTCCCAAATAATATTTGGCTGAAACATCTTTATACAAAAAATATTTATTATAACCTAACTTAATCGAAATCGTAACATTTTCGGTTTTGGTGGAAAAGGGCTATGTCTGGTTTAGGTATCATACAATTTGTATGGTGGTATATTAAATTAAATTAATTTCGATTTTGATGATGATTTTATTTAAATGATTTTTAATGTATAATTTTATCTTAGATATCTTATCTATTCGTTATAATAAAATAACTGAGGATTGATCAAAATC